CCCCACCCCGTTGCCACAGCCCCTTCTTGAAGCTGAATTTTGGTGGGAACAGTTAATGATATCCAGGCCCCTTTGGGTTGGGAGGGGTTCTGAGGAATGAGGCTGGAAATGTGGTATTCTTCTACTTGGGCCCTTTAGGGTTTGGGGACTCTAGTAGACTAGTAGGGTGGAATTACTACCTTTTTTTTGATCAACACAGAAAAGGTTTCATTAATTAGAAAAAATCATGGACACAAGAAGTTGTGAAATAAACCAGCTTTAGTAAGCTGGCCCAAATCAAATTTACAATTGAGCCCAAAACAGATGTGTTCTTTGTACCCTTTGCTTAGCTAAGCTATCTGCCAAGCTGTTGGCAGATCTCCTCACCCATCTCACACAGATTGACATGTCCCTTGATAGCCATTTAAACCTCTTGAGTTCATTCCTCAACTGCCATGTCACCCCTTCCTCCTACAACCATTTTATCATAGTTTTCGAGTCTCCCTCAATGATCAGTCTATTAATACCCAACTCTTTAGCCTTCTTAACCCCATAGGTCTATATGCTGCAGCTAGAAACTCTGACCTTGCCATGGGGTGTTTGATTGGGGAGTTTCCTTTTTCCTATCTTGGACTTCCAATTGGAGCTAGGGCTTCTTCCGTTTCTACATGGCAACCTGTTTTGGACAGAATTGACCAAAGGCTGGTGTGGTGGAAGGGGAAATTTCTTTCCTTTGCAGGAAAATTAACATTGATAAAAAGTATTCTCTCAAATTTTCCGGTTTACTATTTATCTTTACTTAAAAGCTCCTGCTGCTGTGGTGGGAGAGATTGAAAGGTTAGAGAGAGAATTTCTGTGGAATGCTAGGGCTGAGAGAAAGAAGTTACATTTGGTTAAGTGGGAGCTGGTGTGCAGGTCCAAAAATGATGGGGGTTTAGGGGTGAAAAGGGTTGGTGTCTTCAACGAAGCATTATTGGGGAAGTGGGTTTGGAGGTTCGGAAGAGAAAGGGAGGCCCTTTGGAGGAGAGTGGTGGCTTGTAAGTATGGGGTGATGAACTTTTGGTGGGATTCAAAGCCCCAAGGTTATATAATCTGAGTAAGAAAGGAGTGCCAATTTCAGATTGCTACGAAGTAGTAAATGGTGCTGTGGTTTGGAGGCCAAATTTTAGAAGACCCCTTTTTGATTGGGAGGTGGAGTGCTTGGAGTTGCTGGCAGAACTTCAGGCCTTGGAGATCAACTCCTCAGTTACAGATGTCAGATTTGGAAAGAGTGTAAGGATGGGAAGTTTACTATCAAGTCATTGTACTCAGCACTGATCAGAAATCAGGTGGAGGTTGATCCAGTTAGGGGTGTTTGGTGGAAGCCTGTACCACCAAGGGCTGGAAATTTGCTTGGTTGATTGTGAGAGGATGCATTCTAACATAGGATAACTTGAAACTTAAAGGTCTGCAGTTTCCTAACATAGTATTCAAGGTGGTCAAGAGCCCTTTGGCTGATCCAGCTGAAATTTTCAGTTGTTGGCCAAGAATCCAAGGTGGAGTTAAAGTCAAGATCCTTTGGACATGTATTCCTTTTGCTATGTGCTGGGAAATATGGAAGGAAAAAAATAGAAGGATCTTTGAGGAGAAAGAGAAAAGTATGGAAGAGCTGGTAGTTATTATTAGTTCGACAGTTATTGGTTGGGTGCTCTTGCTTCTAGAGTTCCAAGGACTGCGGAAAAAAGACTTTGGAGCTGACTTTTGGACTGGACTTCTCTGAATTCTTAATAGGAATGCTGATATCTATCTTATTTCTGAAATGGTGCTTCTTTTTGTTTTTGTGTGGCCTTAGTGCCTTACATTAGTGTAATCAGGAGGGGGTGACATCTTGTCACCTAGTTATGATGTGCTGTTTTTCCTTTTAGCAATAAAATTTCTTTTTTATTTATCTTCAAAAAAAAAAAAATTGACCATGCCACATCACCTTGTTCCACAGGACTGGAGTATAGAGCAATTCATTAAAATCTGAAAACAACTTCAAGCTTTTTGCCTAGTGTGCCACTCTCAAAGTTATTGTTTCGACCAAGGCTTCCTTATTTTTCTCATTTTCTTCAAATATTCCTGCATTTCTTTCCTCCCAAACATTCCAAAGTAGTGCTGCTCTAGTATCTCCACAGGATCCTACCCCTCCTTTTAGTGCAACCAAAGAGGAAAGGAAACCATTTCCAAAAAAAGCGAACAAGGGRTATCAAGGGAACATTTATTCTGGGCAGCTCTGTAAACTCTCATTTCCTAGTCTGATGTAGTACATTGTTGTTGTTGAGGAGAGGTACCAGCTCGTGCCTCTCCTTGGGCAGTCTGTTTTGTAATATCATTATGCTGATTTTGAATAAGATATCAATCATTTATCAAAAAAACCAATTCCAAATAAAGCTAACTATTTTTGAAGCCGAATCGGTATTACCGGTTTTCTACCGAAACCAAACCAAAGCTGATCGGTTAACTATTGATTCAGTTCGTYGGTTTTTTGGTTTTTTTATATTTACAATATATGTTATAAAAAATATATTAATATATAATAAAAATTAGAAATATATATAAAATATTATATTTTAAATAATAAATAATATACTATATTTTATAAATATATATTTATATATAATGCATACTTATTAATTTATAATATAGAAAATATAAAATATATAAAAAATATATAATATTCATAAATATACATAAAATATATAGAAATATATGTATACTGGTTGGTTCGGTTAACCACTAGTTTTCTATATTGTTTAACTGAACTGAACCTTCAGTTTTTTAAAAATACCGAACCAAAACTGAACTGACCGGTTAGATTAATCGAATTTTTGGTTCAGTTTTGGTCGGTTCGGTTCGGTTTCTTGCTCATCCCTAGACATCCCAGTTAGGGGACAAACACCAATTTGGTCTTTTTCTCTGAAGAACATCATAGGTATTAATACAACCATGAAACACTTCCCAACAAAAAGCACTGATTTTAGGGGGAATGGGAGAGCACCAAATTTCCTTGACTGGGAAAGAATGAGTGGAGGAGGTGGCTACCAAAGAGTGTAGGAAGGATTTACAAGAAAATAATCCGTCAGAATTAGGGCCCCAAACCCTAGAATCCGATCCACCTTCTCCCAAGAACACTGAATTCAGCAAGCCTAATTGCTTGGACAGTAGGAAGTTCAGACTATCTAAGGTTCCTGTTAAAGCCAAAGTTCCAATTCAACCCTGGAAGGTGAGAATGCTGACTTAAGGAATTCAGAAATAGGCCTACCCTTGAACCTAGAAAGATAAAAAAGAGAAGGAAACCTCTCACCCCATAGGGTTATCCCCAATCCACATCCTCCCAAAATCTGATTTTACTACCAGAAGCCAAGTCATACCTGATATGATTTAGAAAAGTAGGGAGAAAATCATGGATGACCTTCCGAGGAGCTGCCAAGGTAGCTCTACAGACTACAAGGACATCCAACATCCCATCCGGATTTGGGCTGGTTGATATGGAACTGCTAAGAATTGAAGGGGATTCCAAGGTGGTAGTGGGCTGGTTGAGGAACCCGGAGTTTATTGTGTGGGGCTTTAAGAATAAAGTCAAGAAATTCAAGTGGCTGACAAGGAATATGTTTGCAAGAATACAATGGGTGGAGAGATCAGCAAATGCATTGGTTGACTGTTCAGCCAAGCAAGGGGCAATTAGGGAACATTTGTATTGGGCACAACTGTAGTTTGATTTGTCTTTTACTATGTTGGGAGAGGATGCATTTCACACCTCTCCAAGGAATGCTTGTATCAATATGTTTCTTTCACTTAATAAAATAATTTACTTATAAAAAGAAGTGTTGGAATGCCATCAAGGATGGTTAATGAAAGTCTTTGTGGACTTCCACACTAATGGTGCTATGTAAAGGAGTTTGAATGCAACTTTCATCTCATTGACACCAAAGAAAAAGGGAGCAAAAGAATTAAAGGATTATAGATCCATTAGTCTTAGGGTTGCAACTTGGGCCTAGTTAGCGTAAACCCATCCCAAACCCAACTTAGCTTCCAGTAATATTTCTTGTTATCTATTGAAATGGAAATATTTTTGTGGAAACTTTCAAATGTATGTTGATGTTCTCAGTTGCTAATTCTTTTTCTTACTTTTGCAGGTTTTTGGTAAGATGCTTCAATTTTATAAGCTGACAACTAAAAAAAGGAAGAAAATGAAATCAGTGATATCGTTATATCCATTTATTGGACTACTAAATGTTGCTGTAAGTTCTTGGTCTTTATCTTCTTTGTCAATTATAGTAAGAATATTCTTTTTTAGTATTTGCCCAGTATATGAATTTTCTTCATGGACAAGGTATTTTTTTAAATGGTAATGATACAGGAAACCCTGAGATACAATATTAAAATAGTCCTTTATCCAATGTGTTTTCTGTAAAGAAAAACTGGATACAGCAAACCACTTTTTGTGCATTGCAAGATGGCTAGCTTATTGTGGGAGTTCACTAGAATCTTTAGGGTACAAAGTTATTTTCTATCCATGCTTGAGGCATCCTTCTTCAATGCTAGTATCTAAAGGGCTGAATAGAAATAGAAAAGGAAGAGCCATGTGGAGTAGTATGCTATTGGTAACTTGTGGGGAGGGAAATGCACATATTATGAAAACAAGGTGTTTATTGAGGAGGTTCTAGTGAAGGCAATGAGTTACCATTATAGGTGTAAAACGGGCTAGGCTGCCTGACATGATGTGGGCTGTGCTTTAGTGGTCCCTGTGCTATAGTACTGTGTTGTGTTGTGCAATTGTTCTAGGCATGACTCACACCGTCGAGCTAGGGAGTTGGGCCCCCTTTCCAATGACACTTAGCTTTAGGAGGCCAAAGGCCCTAACTGACTTAAATCCCCCTGCCAAAAAAAAAACTATAAGCAGCTAGTTTGGGGGGCATCCTTGTATTTAGTCATTGAGGGGGCCTAAATCCTCAAAATGCCCCCCAACAACTATAAACTACTTTGGGGTGACATTTTGAAGTGATAAAAAACTTTTAAAAAACTCAAAAAAGACCAAAATACCCCTCCCAAGTCCTAGTGACTATAAACTAGTTTAGGAGGGCGTTTTGGCCAATTCAATATTCCTAACTCCTATAAATTCCCTTATCCTTACTCATTTTGTCGCAACAAAAATCAACATTTCATACTCTCTTACTACAATTTATCTCTCTCTCTCTCTCTTAGTCTCTAATCTCTACCATTTCAACTTCTCAACTTTCTTTCAACAAGGAGGCTTGCTCAAATGTCTCAAGTTAGCAATTTGGGAGGCTAAGATGTTTCATCTATTGAAATCAAGTTGGGATATTGGACTGGACTAAAAATAAAAAAAAAGATATTGGACTGGACTACCGATATTTAGATTTATTAAAACGGTCGGTTCTTCCCAGTAATCAAGACTGCAGTTAGTCTTGAATCCAAAAAGGTTTCGGATGGAGAAAAGAAGAAGAAAAGGAGAAAAGGAGGAGAAGCAGAAGTACACAAGGGTTTAGAAAGGAGAGGGACAGATACTGGGAAATGCAGTGAGTTGTGGATGTGGTGCAACGCCGCTTCCCTTTACGGACTGCAATGGGGAGGTCAAGGTCATCCGAAGGAAGGGAAGTAGCAATAGTGGAAGGTGTCTCAGTGAGACCTGGATGTGATAAGGGGACTATAGTACCTGGATCTGGATCCGCAGAAGGAACTGGGGTTGGCCTGGACTGCTGATGACTGAAATCAACTTGCCTCCATCGCTTGTGATAGACTTTCAACTCCTGACACCTCTGACAACCCTCCCCATTACAACCCTCATCACTCAATGGAATGGGTAAAGGAACCTCAGATGAGTTAACCCCACTCTCACTGCTCTCCCCTTGAGGAAAAAGGCCCAAATTCTCACTACTCTCCCTTTGAGGAGAAACCCTAGGGTAATAGGGTACCTCCTCAAAGAAAGTGACATCCATCGAGACATCATCTTCCGGAAATAGGTTCATAGCAGCAATAACCCTTTTGAGTTTGTGCATAACCGAGAAAAATGCATTTGGAGGCCTTAGGGTCAAATTTGGAAYGATGRGGKCCAAGAATCTGAACAAAGCAGGTGCAACCAAAGGTTTTAAGGGGAACAGTAAATAATTCCTCATCTGGGTATAGAAGGGTAAACGGAGGCTTCATGTCAAGAACCCGTGA